TTTTTCTTGGTTTGGTTGTGCTAACTCAGGGCAAATATTTGCAATACAAACTTCAAACCCTCCAGCAACCTCTCTTAGTACTCCCCCAAAACCATACATTTCATAAGAATGTTAATTTGTCATCAAAAAATTTAAGGAATTGTAAACTTGTAAATAGTCACATACGAGGAAAAGAATCACTTGGAACAACCCCAATTTAACTATTTCCTCAAAATCTGACAAACTTTCAAGTTGGAAAAAAAAAAAATTCTATTTCAAGTATATTTAAGTTTAATGCATCTTTTTTTCCCCAGCCCTTGTTCTGGTGCTTTAGAAAAAAGTACCTAAGCCTGCTGTCAAGACAATGCTTCTCTATTGTTGACTTTTGAGGGTAAAGAGTATATCACATAACGTTATATGTCAGGAATAATAGAAATTCTTTCTGCACATTACTTTTAAAAAAACCTGCTTAAAAATATTCTGAATTGAGCAAGACCTTTTGATTAATTAAACCAAAAATCTTCTCTCAGTTCAAGAGCCCAATGAGAACCCTTAATTACATAATCAAAAATTATGTCAGGAAAGAGCATCATGAAAATCTAATTATGCACTTTCTAGTACGTGATTAGTTTTAAGTAGGTGGGTATGATTGAGGAAGAGCAAAAGAGGGGAAATATGATAAAAGAGGTATTTGGCAGTGGAAAGAAAAGAGGCATCATAGAATTGAGTAATAACAAATACAACCTCCTCCCAGAGTGTCTTCAAAAACTGGATGTCTTGACTTGATTACAGAATGGATGAAATAAGACATGCTTCTTCCTTGATGATATGCATTTACAATTTGACACTAAGCTCTCTGAAGCCTATGAAAAGGAAATAAGCAGTATTTCCAAATAATTAGAGAGTTCAATACCAGAAAGATGTTAAAAAAGTTTTGTCCATCTCACCTGACCTTATGATAGAAACAACTGTTCATTCTCATTGTGCTGTTTCTCTGCTAATGAAACCATGATACAACACTTCACAAAATGTTGTCTGCAGAGATAATTTATAGTATCTCCTTTATTCTCAAATCCTAAACCCTTTTTGTCATGAACTTGTGTTAACCTTCAGTTTTCTCTGGCATATTAGAGATATCAAATAAGTAGCTACATGGGGGTGCCAAGGAGAAGCACAGGCTTCAGGCATGGCTGTCTGATCATGCTCCAAGATGGCCTGAACAACAAACACCATGGTTAAAATCTGAGCTGCTGACTGGCGACTTGTGAGTCTTCAAGTGGTCTCCATAAGTCAAACCCAGGAACCATGAATTCCTGAATTCCAGTTTTGCACATATTGACTCTGTGTTCTTGGGCAGCCACTTCACATACCTGTATCTCAGTTTCCCTGTTTTCAAATGGACATAATAATACTTACCTCCCTCTGCCACACACTGTGAGTCTAATTAAGTGCTTTCAGAGTTTAACTGAATGTGTGTACAATATTATCCTCTAATCAAAGAGAATTCCACCCAATCCTGCATAGCAATTCTCTTTCTTTGTTCTCCATGTTCATTCTAAGCCTCTCTCTATTTGTTCCAAGTCACTCTGCAGTCAAGTTACCAAAGTATTTTTATTCTAAAATTATTTTTATGCTGATATTAAAAAGGAAATGCAAATGCTCCACTGGCAGTTTGGGTTCCTGGAGAGTCAAAACCTAAGAAATTCTTTCTGCAAAGCTCACTGCAAACTACTTCCATATATCTTGCTTGAAAATAAATCATTTGTAGAAATCAAAGGGATTAATTCTTAGCTAGAATAAATCAGCGGTGGCTTTTCTGAAATCAGTAAGCTGTAATGAATTATAAAGGGATAGGTGAAAGGTGATTCATGCCCACTACACACAGGCCAGAATCTGATTTCAATTACACTGATGGAAATCTCCATTAACTACATTATTTTGACTGAAGTTTCTAGAATTACTCTGCATATCTACAGATACATGACAGGTTTTAAATTAGCTACTGCCATTCAATCCTGGAGTCAGGGTTTATTCTCTGCTCAAAAGCAGCCATAAAAGCAAGCAGCATTTTAGAACCTATATGGAAAGAGCACACAGAACATCACGGTACCACTGAACAAATCCCACTGAACACACACATACATCTTTAATGCATTGAAGAAATCCATTACTTCCATCTCTAAAAGGATATAGTAGAACTGCTACAGGTACAGGGAAATGCATTAAGGATGCCATGTAAAATGGCTTCAGTATGAGGAGAGACTAATAGATTAATGCGTTTTAATTTGATGTGGAGACCGCTGAGGGGAGGTACACTAAAGATCTGGAAAATCTCAAATGGTGAGAAAAGCACGGACAGTGATTCGGCTCTATTTCTTGCAATACTAAAGTTAAGGTGCAACCATGGAAATTAACAGGCCTGAAGCAAAAGGATTTTTCTTTTTTTCCATACTGTACATCATTAAATATGGAATCACATGCTAAAGGATCCTGGAAAAGCCAAAAGTTTAAATGCATGCAGAAACTTTTTGGACCATTTATTGGGCAATAGGCCCATTTGTGACCATTAAAAACAATGGTCCAGATAAAACCTCTAGCTCCTTAAACTACCTTGAGCCAGGTATATCATACACAGGGTTTGAATGCCAAATGCCAAAATTGCTTTGGGGAATCACATTTCAATCAACCTATTGATTTCACATGCTCAGTGAAATGGGCTGTGGATTAGTAAATGCTAAACTGAGATGGTAAATTTAGGGTGCCCCATGGACATCATGTACCAGATCTGGAAACAGCATAAAAATGGTAATTTGAGCAGTACCTCTGTGATGGCCTGCCTTTCCGCAGCACTTAGTAGCTCCTGTGCAGCTCCACACAAAGCTTATTCCCAGCTTTCAGTTTCTCACCAAGTTAGCCTGATGTACATGGACTGTTTGAGACTACATGCACCAAAGAGATACAGACAATCCACTTTGTACATTAACATACAGGAGCCTATGATTCAGTGGCTCTTTTTACACAACAATTAGAACACACACACAAAGAGCCAGTGGAGATCAATGCAGCAGAGCTGATGTCTAGATACCTTGTCTCTTAGGTGCACACTGTACCTGACACTCCTAAGTCGGCCACATGCTTTTCGCCACAGAGAGGTTCAATAAACTCTGGTATTGTGGAGTACTAAATTCCACTGAAAAGCTGTATAAACATTTTCATAAATCAAAGCATGTGAGGCTGGAGTTTAGTTAGCACCACAAAAAATAAATAAATGTATGGGATTGGTTCATATAAATCATATATACAATGTGTTCACAGACAAAGGGTCATGCTGAATGTGTAATGCACTTGAACATCTGCCTTTCCAAGTGTCATCAAGTCACTTGGAAAACTAAGCATAAGGGGCAATTTTTTGATAAGCCAAAAATAGGGTTTTGATTAAAAATTGCCTAAAGTTAGCAGAACGAACATCTGTCAACTTCAGCAAACTTCAGAACAGAATCCTTTTGGGAAGCCTGATGAACAGATATTCCTTTCAGAAAAGAATAACAATGGTTAAAGGAGAATAAAGCTACAAGAACCAAGAGGCAGGTGGGTAGTTTATCAGATCTTCCTTCCTGAGGCTCAAGGGTAAATCAGTATAAACTGACAAATTCTACAATCACTTCGGATTTCTTAATCTTATTCTACAGTAAGTAGGGTCCCAATCACATCCCACACAAATTTCTGGGAGCTTTCCTAGAGCCTTCAGCAGGCAAACAGTGAATAATGTTTTGTGCTACAAGAGCAAATACAGCCAGTATGCAGATAAACACATAATTGATGATTATTTTCTTTGGAATCGCAGTACCATGTAGAGACCTTACCACCTTGGTGCCACTGTGGTAGACAGTCTTAAAAATACAACAGCTCTGAACAACTTACAAGTACATGTAAATTAATTACACCTTCATGGAAGATGGTGAATCTCATGGTAATTGATATGTCAGCCTCCTGATAATTGACTCCCTGGTTTACACAGTAGAAGCATTTTTTGTTTGCTTTTGAAGTGCTCACTTGAAAAAAATATTGGCAGTAAAAATTCTCCTCAAAATTGAACAGTGGTTGTAAAGTAGCTCCTTTTTAGAAGTAGGGGGGAAAAATAAAAGAAATAGAAGCAAAAGAAAACAAGCTAGAAGGAGCATATATTCAGTTTAAGTTTCATTCAGTTCACACACAATATCCTTTTAAAAATAAAAGAACTTGCTGGGTAATTAAGGATTTTTGTCTTTAAAATTAAAAGCCATGCTAGCAACTAATAAAATAAGGATTATGTGTATGTCTGAATCAATTTGGACTTTACAAAATTAACTTTCCTACAGCCAGAAAGCCAGTTCTAAAAAGAGTGAAAAGCTCACTTTAATTTTAAAATAAACCTTTTTCTTCCCATTTTAGTCTTTGCAGTCACAAGTAACAACCCTTTAAAAATCCTCACAGCGTCTAATGCCGACAATAAAGCTAGAATAGTATTTTGAAGCAATGTAGCTCATACACAACGTCACCAAAAGGGCACACACACCACCGTGGTTCAGGCGTTGCTCAGATAACATCCTACTGATTCTGCGATAGGTTCTTGTCTCAGCAATTGCTACGGAAATGAAATTACTGTAAGACTTTTGAGGCAAATACAGGAGACAGAGTTAACAAATTAGCAGGTTTAAAACTAACAGCTTTCTCATTCAGCCACAGGGTGGGGGCGCAGCTTTAGGGATGCTGGTATTTCCTAACAGTGTATTGTTATTCAAACAGTTGGGATCTTTTTTTTTAAGAGTCTTGCCACTTGCCTCAGACAGGAAAAAAAGTGTTTGATGATTTTTAAAAAAGACATCAGCCAGAGACACACTGAGTAAATACCTGAAAAGGCTTTCAGGAAAAAAACAAACCAAACCAAAACCCCCCAAACCACCAACAAAAGTGTAAACATAAACAACTTAAAAGAAAACCAGTGAATTTAGAATCTACTCTGACCTTCTGAAGACTTTGCTTCTTTGTCTCGGACCTGCGCTGTGATGCTCTTCCACCTCCCATAGTGCCCCTCCGTACAGCCAAGATCTGCATAAAACCCAGAATTACTCCTTGCTATTCCCTTCCCCTCCGTGTTTTTCCCTCAGACCCCCTCCATTTACAGACAAGAGCTTTGCCATGTTTGCTTCACATTGTGAGCAACCCTGTTTCAGGCTGACTTCAAGAGAAGGAAACATTTCTCATTGATGAGGTTGCAGAAAGTGGTGTCACAACATATCACGAGTTGTGTTTATGAAGGTGCAGGTTGCGCACCTTGACCCAGGGCTACATCATAAGGAAACGTGGCAAAGTAATGTATTATTACTTGATAAAGGCAATTTCCACACTTAGGACTGAAAGCATCTTAGATATTTTCTTTATACTGCAGACCTGCAGCAACCATACCTTAACTAAAGAGCTGCTTTTTCATTTTGTGTAGTACGATATCCGTGAAGCCTTCAAGATGACAATTGCGCATGTTAGACTGCCATCATTTTCTCTGAATAGAAAACTTAATGTCTAGAATAAAGAAGATCAGTCAAGACAGAAAAAAGTCACTGTTTAGGTAAAATCCCCAAAGTATTTTGTTTTAGCTTGAGAAAGATGATTTATTATATTATTTGTGCCAGTGTTTAAGGTAATAGTCAATAAGGGTCTTTATCCTTATGCCACTTAGAAGTTCACATTATTAACATTTTAAAAATTTCCTGTTGAAACTTTTTTCTTAATTCAAAATAAATAAATACACAGCTGTAGTTTGACAAAAGTCTGGCAGGTTTCTTATGGTATAATGAATGGTATAATGGAGGTTGGGAGAACCTCCGATAGGAGCCAAGTCACCTTTGTGGAAGCTGGGGGAGCAGCACTGTACTGCAGGACTCAGTCTCGTTTTGAGTGGTTTATCCCCCTCGCACTCACTTTGTTCAAGCAGTTACAACCAACTTTAAGACCCCGAACATCTTTTCTTATTACAGCAATTAAAAGACTTACATTTGATGTGTATGTTCTCTGTTGGCATAGCAGTCTGCGATGGTTTATATCTGCATATTTACGTATGAGTTGTATCTGTGCACCCACCTCTCAGTGCTGTGGAGATGAGAGGGGTCCATCGACCTGAGAGCAATTCTCTATGTGTGCAAGCAGCTGTGGTGCGTTCATCAACCCGTGCTGTGCTAATGTGCTGATGTGGTGTGGGGGGCCTGAGTCCCGTGTCCGGGTGTGCTGTGCGAATGCAGTGTGTGGGACAGGGGTGCGATCGCGTGAGGCGGGGGGGACTGTGTGTGCGTGTAGTGCAAGCGAACGGGGCTGTGTGGGGTGAGTGAGCGCAAGTGTGAGGTGGCTGCGAGGCAGGTGTGAGAGCCGCGCCTGTGCGAGGGCTGTTCTGCGGGGCACTGAGGCGGGAGGAGGGCGTGAGGGGATGCACGCGGGCGGCACTGAGGGGAGCTGAGCCCGCGTTCCCGCCGCCCCGCCCACGCCCTCTGACCCCCTCCTCACGCCCGCTCTCGCCTCACGGCCCCACTGCCCGCCGCTGCCCCTGGCCAGACCAGGCCAGGCCCCAAGGGGCCGGGCTCCGCTGCCTTCGCCCTCCCCGCCCCGCCTTCCTCGCCCGCCTCTCGCTCCCCCCTCCCCTCCCCGTCGCCGGGGCTTCCCTTCTCTCTTCATTCAGCGCTGCCTCGTTGCCGAGCGCTCGTCGCGCTGCTGCCCCGGTATGTCCCGCAGCCGGGTTCCCCTCAGCGACCGGCCCCTGTAGCGCCGCTACCCGCGCGTGAGGCAGGGCCGAGGGGACGGCGGGGGGGGGGGGGCCGTTGCCCAGCTGCGCCGGGCACCGCGCAGCCATGGGGGGCTCCTGAGGGGAGCGGCGGGGAAGCGGAACGCCTCGCCCCGTGGCAGCCACTATGGAGGCGCCGCCGCCGCCGCCACCCGGCGCCCCCAGCGCGGCGGACCCCGCCGGCTGCCCCAAGGACACCGACCGCCAGTTGCGCCTCCGCCTCTGCGTTCTCAACGAGATCCTCAGCACCGAGAGGGACTACGTGGGGACCCTCCACTTCTTGCAGTCGGTGAGCGGCGGCGCGGGGCGCGGGCGGGGGAAGCCCCTTCAGGGGCACCGGAGGGGGGCTGGGCGGGCAGCCCGCAGCGGAGCGGCTCCTCCCCGGGCGGGCCGGGGGCTGCGAGTGCGTCCAGGAGGCGCGGGAGCGCTTGGAGTAACTTGAGGGAAGTGCCTGAGGCCGGGCCCGCTCCGCCGAGGGGGAGTTCTGAGGGAGGGGGCGAGGGGCCGGCGAGGGGCCGTCGACAGCCGCGTTTTCCCCTGCGGTGAGGGAAAGCTCTGAGGCTGGGGCGATGGAGGCGCCGGATCCCGCAGCATCCCGGCGGTGCCCTGGCCGCTGGGCGGGGGGAGCGCTTCGCGGGTGGCTCCGCCGCTCTGGGGGGTGACAGGGACCGATCCCGACATGAAGCCGCTTTTCTGAACGCCTCTTCCCTTTTGTTGTTGTTGTTTAGAAGTTGCTGTTACACCCACCTGGAAACGCTACCCTTGCTGCCTGTTATTTATAAATAAATTTTATATTCTTGTTTTGTTTTGTTTTTCTCTAACGGTAAACATAAGTATGTGAATGGGCCGGGTGTGTCTGTGCATGTGGAGACAATTATACCCGCCTCTGGAATTAGCCACGGACTAGTTCAGAAGTAAAACTCCATCTGGATATTTCCTTTTTCCTATATGGGCTCTAGATGTGGAATTCATCAGCATACCACCACACTCCTCCAAATAACTAGAAGAGCCTGCAGTAAAAGTTACTAGATAACAGATATGCCATAAAAAGGAAGAAGAAGAAACTATTTGATCACATAAAGATCAAGAATCAAAGCAAGAGAAGTCTCTGCAGAGATCTCAAAAAGATTGGACAGGGCAGAAATTCTTTCTGGTGTTTTGCTAGATAAGTACTAAACCCTGATTTCCTCTAAGTGGGTTTAGACCCTGGACCCTTTTTGGACTATCTTTCTGGCAAGCTTTTTGTTTGTTTTTGGAAAGCAGTTTGTCTAAAGTGTTTTTCAGATTCACCCAAGTGGCAAACCGTCCAGCATAAAAGACAAATGAAAAGGATGTGGTTGCTTTATGACCTAGTCTCTGCTTGAATCCTCCTTTTCTCTCTCAGATAGTTGAACGTAGTCTTTCAGAAAGCTTCCAACTGAAGTGCCAGCTTGCTTTCTTTAGAACTGGGATTCTGTCTTTGTGTGAGGAGATTGTTTAAAAAAAGCTTCAAGCTGCAGAAGAGCCCCACCCTACAGACAAAACAAACCAAAAAACCCTCAGAAAACTCCTCTGTCCTAAGTACTGAATTTGAGATTTTCGTAGCTGCAGGCTGGACTGTGGATTCAAGCTGTGTGTATTTTTAGCTTCAGTTCTTACAGCAAAATGTATTTACAGTGTTAACTAATGGGATTTCCATATGTTAAATAACAAAACAAGTCTTTATATTCATTAACTTGGCAGTTTTCATGACAGCAGTAGTGAGTAATATGCCTTAGGTAATGGCAGGAGGAGATGCTGACAGAGTACCACTTGGTTGTGGTCTCAGGATGGCACTGCAGACAGTCAGAGCCCTTCACAGTCACTTTGTTACTAACTGCTAGATGTAGATTGCCTGTAGTATTGTCTTGGTGGAGGTTGATTCTGATAGTGCAACTTTACCCCCTCATGGAGTTTGTGTTTTGGTAATTATGTTTGAAAAAAGCACTGAGGGATAGGATCTTACCTATATCTAGGCCTTGGTTTGGAACAGCATTCACACATAGGCTTAACTTTAAGCATGCCTTGAATGTTCATGTGCTGTTCTAAATGTTGGTTTCTTCAGTCATTGGCCTAGTTCTTATGGACTGAATCTCTATACAACTGTGCTCAGATAGTTGAATGGTGTTAGCACCAGGGAAAGGAGGATGAGGATCTACTGCAGTATATGAGGGTAAAAAGAACAGTGGTTGGATGAAATTTTAAAAAATGAAGTTTGGTGTAAGAAACACTTTCTGCGTAAATTTGGTGGATGGCCGTAACTTAATACTTCCTAACAAGATAGCACAAAAGAAAGAATTCTGCCCTGCCTCCCACATTGGACAGCTGACATGACATGCAATGGTAATATAATTATATAGTCACTCGAATTACAGGCAGTTATAGGACAAAAAATTTGCCTTATGATACTCATGGAAGTAATGCTGTAGCACTGGGACACTGTAGTCTCAAATTTACTTAGCCCTCACAGATAAAGTCCACTTTATACCCATTAGTTTGTTTTCCTGAGTGCTCTGATGTTACTGCATAGGAACTGCTGCTCCTGCCCCATGGGTCTCTTTCTTACCATCTCATGTTCTCTGTGAGTAGCACTTACCTAGTGCAAAATAAATGTGAACTATTACACTTTCTGGGATAATGCACCTAGTTAACACTCAAGTGTGGCTGGGTGATGTTAAGGGTTTTTTTAATAGTGTATTGAAATTGTTGTCCCAGATTTTAGGGAAACTTGTTCCTGTCAAACATAGGAGGAGAGATTTGCAGGGTACAGGTTCCTTTGCTTAAGAAACTTTAATAGCTTTGATAAATAAAGGAAAGCTAAATCTCATATCTTTCTATCATCAGAATGAGTTTTCTTTAAGTGGGATGGGACACTTGTGCTTTAGAAAAAGGTTAGGTGAGGGAATTTGTGCCCTTTGTTAAATATTTGCTATTGAAGCAATAGTCCTCATTAAGAATTCTCAATAAACAATGTCTTAAAAAGCAAACAACTACATTCTATGGGTTTCTTCACAGCACTGAGGTTGCTTGCTAGCAGCAGCTTCCTGTGTTCCCTGGTAATGTAAAAGAATCTCTAAAGTATTTAATAATGTGGGTTTGCAAATAAATCAAAGTAACTTTGATTTATTCAGAGTGGTTTGGTCCTTTTTTAGAAGACTAACACATGACCATGTCAAAGGAAAGTTTTCCTTTTGCTTTTGTATGCTTAGAAACATTTTCCCCCTAAGCCACAGCAAAAGTAGGTTTGCTATAAACATAAGGACTCTACCCTTAATTGCTTAGCTGAAAAGATTGTGGTCCTTATTTTGTTTCCATAGATTAGTAAAGTGGGTATCATTAAAGTTATAAAAGGTGGAGTTCTCTTTTCCCACAATAAAAATTGTGTTAGTCACCACAAAGAACACTTTGCTGTGAGTTTTGTACTCATTTAAAAAATGCTCCAGTTATTTATTTAATTAAAATTAATCTTTAGAATCTGTTATATTTCATACCGTAAGTAATTCTGATGCAAATTTAACTTGGATGTCCCATGCCACTACAGCTAAATTAGGCTGTTCAGTCTGTTAGGTTTAGTACAGTTAATCTTTCAGTGTGTATGTTGGTTGTAACATTTTTATTCCATTAAATTTTGGACACAAGAAGGCATTCCTAGTCAGTTTTGCTCCTGTTTAGTTTCTGGTACTCCTGTTGATAGGTTATGTTACAGTATCATGTATCAGAACTGTGAGAGAATGAAACTGAGTAGCTTTTCTTTGTGGGTTGTTCCAGATCTCATGAGATGATGAATTTGAAGGGATATAGCCATTTTTGTAAAACAGACTCTGGAGTTTATATTAAGTGTTAATACCATACAGATATGATACTCATATGCATATCGTGATTTTGATATCTCTATTTTTCCTACATTGAGCCAAAAAATGAGGAGTTACCATGCTGAGAGAGGGCAGACCCTTTTCTACCACCTCACAGCTAATGATCTGAACTTCCTGGTTTAATGATGAATACGCAGATGCTGGTTTGTGTCCTGTCTTGTCTGCCATTTTGTTAGGCAGGTATGATGTTTCAAATAAGAAATCCTCCTTGAAGAAATGCTGTATAGATCAGGAGTATTAATAGGTAATACTGCAGTTGTGCAGATATGTTACTAACTTTAGTAAAGGTTCATTAGACAGCTAAACCTTTTAAGCAGCAGCTAGAACTACAGGGAATGGATGAAATGTACTGCTGCCAATGTTATTAAAGAACTACTGGTCAAATAAGAAGCAAAGTGGAAAGTTGTTAGAAGCTAATGGAAATTTACTAAATGTTACTGATGCAGTAAGATAAACTTCAAAGAGATAAAGGCAGATAATTCTGTTATAAGTCTCTGGTGAGATCATAAACCATAAGGATTTTCAGTTTCCAGACTTCATGATTCAGTTAATCCTTTGCCTCCCTTTAGCCTCTTCCAACTCTCTGCAGCTATGCACAAATGTTTTATATATGATCTTATAAATATTTCTTTTCGATGTGCCAAAATTAAACCAGTTGATAATTTAGTTTGAGTGACCAGTTGGGTAGATGTCAAAGCATCTGTCTGGTGTCATGCAGGTTGGCAGATGAATATGTGGCTGACAGTAGCCTTTGGGTACTGAGGTGCAATGCCTGTGTATTTTAGCCCTTACCTTACCCATTCTCTAGGTGTCTGTTCTTGACTGTGTTGTCAACCCATATGGAAGAGTCACAGACGATTCACTGTAAAAAAAGAAAGGTTGTGGTTTGTTTGAATGCTGCATGGTCATTCCCCAGAATCTCAGTCAAATCTGTCATACTAACGCTGCAGTACTTAAAGATCAGCTTTGAGGTAAAGAGACACAGGAACCCTGAGCAATTTCAGACATACTCCTTGACTATCATTCTAAAAATAGATTGGATAGTGGGTACACAGCAGTGGATGTCAGTATTTAAAGGTTTGGTTTACCAGTTTGGAGATATAATCATATGAATTACACGAGAAGGTGTAGTAACAATGATTATCCAATACACCAAGTTGCAAAGGTAGATATTTAGTTGCATACATGTTTTTTCTGTCCTCTGATTTCACTGAACACTTAGCTCTAACCTGCATATGCAGCTCCCACAACTTAGGTAATTACAAATATGTAAAGGCAAATTGTTCTCCACATTGTATATAAATATGGTTCTTTCATCTTTCCGGAGACAAACCACCAAATTGTAAATTTTAATGTCAGAATGCCAGGATGTACTTTTAGTTTGAGCAATTTGTGTGGT